AGATATAACAATTACTAGCCTTAGTCGATACGGATATATAACAATTACTAGCCTAAGATAACAAATACTAGCCTCAGTCCATATATAGATAAACGACTTACTAGTCGTAGTACATCTGGCTATAACAATTACTAATCTTTGTCCATATATAGATATACCAACCATTAGCCTCGATCCATATGGATATATATATAATAATTCATGCCTTGATTATCAGCTTTATTAACTCAACTGAAGTTCCACTTGTAAATATATGCAAATAAAGTAAGTTTGTGTAGTCAATAATTCTTATTATCAAGTTCGTGCCGGGTGAGTAATATCAGTATTTCAACACCTTTACTTAATTTTTTTTTTTTTTTTTTTTTTTTGCACCTGTCGTGAACACCATTGACGAAGAGATAAAGAGAGAAATGCGGTTTATTGATAAATCGACAAAAAAAATATGTCATTTCATAAAGAGAGAGAGAGAAATGGGGTTTAACGTCCACTCGACACAAACTAGGTCATTTCGGGACTAACATATGGTTTAATTTTATTTCAATAATAATTCGCTTGCGCGTAGGGTCTTTAGCAGTGGGAGGAAACCGGAGGACCCGGAGAAAACCAACGAGGTTGGACAGGCGACCCTACTCCTTGTCACGTACAACCAGGGAATCGAAACCCCGCCAGTTGACTCAATGACAGACCGTATGATACAGCACGCGCGTGCTAACCATTCGGCCATCCAACCCCCCACCCCATTTCATAAAGACCTAAACCCGTGAGTGAATTATTGAAAAAAAAAGAATCATATATTAGTTCCGAAATGAACTTGGTTTGTGTAAAATGAACATTGAAACCCATATGTTATATCTTTCTATCTCCCCATCCCTCTCTTCCACCCCTCTTCCACCCTCTCCCCCTCTCTTCCATCCCCTCTCCCCCTCTTCCACCCTCTCCCCCTCTCTCCCCCCCTCCAGTAGTGGTCATGATATAAGTTACGGTATGAAAAGATGATATAAGGCAAATATCAACAAACGGAGTTTAATTATTTATAATTATTGAGGCTTTAAACTGTGGCAAATCAATATGGTTTCTGTGGGCCTGTTTGGTGACATCAGTAACACTATTCTTTACAAATATTACCAGCATTACTTAAACAACTAAATCCACAAACAGACACGTAGGATAAACTACAAGTTATTGACACTGCAATAACTCGACAAATGTTGCATCTTCGCCCCACATCATTTCTACAACTTCCAATTAAACAAAAAAAGGAAATTGATGAAATCTGATGAAGTTTCCTTGAACAAGGCAGTAATTGTTTTGGAGTGTGTCTGTAGTGGTTGCGGATCATCTGAGGTGTTTTTTTTCTGTTATTTCATTAAATAAAGCAAGGTTTCAATTGATATTATATAAAAAGCTCCTAGCAAGGTTCCAATTGATATGACAAGATAAACTCCTAATAAGAACTATTGCTTTAATACATTTACGTTGATCAAACACATTTTTCTTTTATACAAAATGAAATCCGACCAGCCCACGCGGTAATAATATTTGAAAATCTTAAGATGCTTGTTAAAAAACCCCATTGAAAATGAACTGAATTATGCATATCTAATAGAAGCAGTCATTCGGCACATAGAGGATTATCTACTCTGAGAAACTATCTGCTCTGTCTTACACATACACACAAAAACTGAGAGAGAGAGAGAGAGAGAGAGAGAGAGAGAGAGAGTGTGGGGGGGGGGGGGGTAACGTCCACTCGACACAAACTATGTCATTTCGGGACTAACACATGGTTCAATTTTATTTCGATAATTCTCTTGCGCGTAGGGGTCTTACGGGGGACCTGGGGAAAACCCACGAGGTTGGACAGGCGACCAAACCCCTTGCAACGTAAAACCGGATAACCGAAACCACGCCAGTTGACTCAATGACAGACCGTATGATACAGCGCACGTGCTAACCATTCAGCCATCCGAATTACTCGAAATACACAAAAAAACTAAATAAACATTTTCAATTTCATTACATATAAAAATGAAATTAAATGGTGTTTAACATCCTACTGTTCTGCCCCGACTGGGCTAATGAAGACGGGCATACGCCATACCGTGTGCTATGAGGGAAATTGGCCCGGAGAGCGGGGCTACGGCCTACTCTTATATCAAATTCCAACTGCCAAGGGATCTTTTACGTGCACGTCCATGTACAGACGAGACCTCGATTTTTCGTCTCATCCGAACGACTAGACAGCTGTGCTTGTCAGGCCCTGACAAGGGGGAACCACGCCGGAAAAACCCGATAAACTTTCTCGGCCAACACCGGGAGCGATCCCGAAATCTCCAGGTTAGTGAGCCAGCGTCTTACTCACTTAGCCACCGTGGCTCCTTATAAAAATTAAAGCGGAATAAACAGTTCTAAAAATACTCTAAGTATAATGAGTGTTTCCGACTAAAATCGTCGCAATTGGAATGAAAATATCGGTCAATTAGCTTTGTGTCTGATTTTAAGATGCGCTAATTGAAATAAACACGGAAACAAGTTAAATATATATGAATTATATATATTTGAATTATTATTTTAGACAAATACAGAACGCCATAAATAGGAAACCATGACACATCAAGAATCTTGCATTGATTTTATATTAATAATATATTTTAGTAAGTAATTAAAATAACTATATGAACCATACACGTACAAAGAGTCGTTATGTTTGATGGGGGATAAAAACTGTTTTTATTGATATAAGAAACGCCGTCTTGTTATTAAACGGGGTAAGTCAAATTGACTTATAGTCAGTGCAGAAGGACAACACAACACACAAAACAAAACCGCCAAGACAAACCTACGGACAAGACAAACTACACAGACATGGCAACAAATAAACAAGAAATATCAAATCAAGTGAATGAATCTGGGGGTGAGCAGCAAACGTCTGATACGCTCTACCGTCCAGGGCCTGTAATATTACAGGCTTTATTCAAAACTGAAAAACAATAATGCGACCGGTCCTGACGGTTGTCGTCTCCTGAATAGCATTTCCTGATAACGATAGTCTGCCAGTTGACGTCAAGAGTTAGAACGTCAAAACTTTAGTAACAACAAGGGCGATAATCCGGATAGAATTCCGGAAAACGCTAAATATTAATAAAATATGTTTGGATGAATATTGAATTAAACTCGCATTGTGCAAGAGCTAAATCTGTTATTGCGGCTCTTTCCTTAGGCCTTAAATGTTATATAGATTATTAATTAGACATAAACTTATCAAGACCATAATCAATTCTCGATGTCATCGTCAGTCTGCGATATTTAGTGGATTTGAATGCGTATTGTGGTGGATGATTTAACGTAAAAATGAATAACCGAGACTGTCTATTACCGTGCCAATGGTAGTAATGACGATTGAGGCCTAAAATTGAATAGCTAATATCTCGGTTCAGAGTGAAGCAATTTGACTGAAATTTCCATCATATTCTGTTTGCATTATCTATTTGTTAACTATTATAGCAAGAATTGTCAGCCCTTTATCTAATCTTACCTAATTCCCCTTTAATAAAATGTACTTTAGAAATAAAGCAAGAATCCAGTTTAGATACCATAGGCGTACGGGCTCGATGACAGCTAGTGGGGGGGGGGGGCAGAACGCGATATGCCCGAAAAAATTTTCGGGTTTACAGAGAGCGCCTGTCTTCCTTGAGAGGCGAAGAGAGCGGAGCTTACCTTGCCCCCCCCCCCTCAGGTGGCTGACTCGAATTCCAATCAATCGTCTACAGTCCACGAAGACGGGACCGTTGGGAGAAAATTTTGAAAATTTAAATGCCACAAATGCGTTTTCCTGCTATTCCAGCCTGTGAATACAGCAACTTCAATTTGGTCCAATATAGCCTACCTGGCTGACCGGAATTCCAAACAACCAATCAATCGTCGCTGGGTTCGGGGGTACACCCTCCCGGAGAAAATTTTGAAAATTTAACCACCGCAAAGGCGTTTTCGGCTATTCTAGCACGTGTAAACTCCAAAAGTATCCAATGGTTTTGTAACCGAAATCCCACTCTGAATTCCAACCATCCAATCAGACTGTTCCAGCTGCATTCACAAATAATAATCGATGCCCGAAAAATGTCGCACAATGTAGAGTGACTCCAGGCAACATTTTTTAATCCATAGTCAACTCTGTACAAATTCGTGGCATTCAATTAAAAGAAAAGTAAAATTAGTGTTATATTAGGGCTCGATAACAGTAAGGGAAGCAAAACTAGAAATGCCCGAAAAAATTTCGGGTTTACAGAGAGCGGCGCCGGTTTTCGTCGAGAGGCGAAGAACCAGAACTGACCTTGTATGGACCCCGCAAGAAAATTTTGGAATATTTGACAGCCGCAAACGCGTTTTCCTGCAATTCCAGCCCGTAAAATTAGTGTTTATTAGATTTCGGGCACTTTACTTTGCCAAGTAGATGAAATAAATGTTTGTTTTCACTTTACCCGTCTGCCCGAAAAGTCAGCTTGCCCGAAAGTTAGGGTGTGCTCTATGATTTCGAGTGAGATTTGGAAAACGAGGCAAAACGTCGGGGACCAAGTGAAATGTTTCCGATGTAGATTGCCGAGAGACTGTCATGCAATGTGTATTGCTCATAACATTTCGGCGACCAAAACTGATAAGAAATTACAATTACAGTTTTAAGGACAATATTGGTGTCAGTCATTATCACATGTGATAGAATTGGTTAAACACGTTCCAAATATAATTTTAACACAGAGATCATTGCTTGCTACGAAGGATAACTCGTTATTTCTTTTGCGTTCGTCACTTCCTTTTCTTGAAAGCTTCATAACGCGTCTATCGTAGCAATGATATCTGTGTTAAAATTATATTGGGAACGTGTTTAACCATTTCTATCACATATGATAATACCTGACGTAAATATTGTCCTTTAAAAGAATAGATGTTTACTGATAAGAAATAAGAATTATAGTTTTAAAGAATGGCTGTTTACTGATACTACAAACCTGAACATTTTCTCTATACCAAGCATGTTTCTTGAGTAACGTAACCAACTGTGATCGTAATATCATTCCTTCAAACTTCATCGGTAAATTCCTTTGGAGGAGTTCTATAGGACTAAAAATGTAAAAAAAAAAACCAACCCCAAAATGAATGCACGTGTTTTTCATGTTTGAAGACAGCAGTGTTGGTGGTGGTGCGTTCTTTACTCAGTGATGGTAGAGACCTGCTTTACGTAAAGACGCGATGATAGAGACATATGTCTGACGTAATGACAGAGACATGTCTGGAGTCATCTGGAGTAATGATGTAATGATATATTTCTGACGTAATGACAGAGACATGTCTGACGTAATGCTAGGAACATGCCTGGCGTAATGATAGAGGATGGAGACCTGTCTGACTTAATGCCATGGAGACATGTCTGACGTAATGACGCTAGATGAAAACGAATGAATGAATGAATGAATGAAATGGGGTTTAACGTCATAGTGTTATGTACCAACCAGATTAATGAAGACGTGCATGCGCCATGCAGTGAGCTATGTGGGACAAATTGCATACTATTCACGGGTTCTCGGAAAGAGGGTATAACACTGCTGCAAAAGGTCACGGAACGCTTAATATCGACTTCACACAAAACCCGCCAAAAACCTCTATCACATTGACGTCCGGACCGACGGACAGTGCGACAACATAATAATGTTGGCGTATAAATAAGCAGTTAGAATAAAACTTGTACCTACTTTCCGTCACCGCCTTGGTTAGAATTATTTTGATTAACAAAACATTCAACGTCATCTTGCTGAAAATAAAAAAAAAACATATTCAACGTTGGTGTTTAAAATCTTAAATGTTAAATTTAGGCCGTAAATGTTATATGAATTATTAATTAGACAATAATTAATTAACTTACCAAGACTATAATCAACTCTCGATGCCATCGCTAGCATGTGATATTTAATAGATTTAAATACGTCTTGTCGTGGATGCGGTTACCGTAAAAATGGATAATCGAGGCTTTATTTATTATCGTAACAACGCAAGTAATGACAACCGGAGCTAGCCTATAATTGTATCGTTAATATCTAGGCTCAGAGTGAAGTAAGTAATTTCACTGAAATTTTCAGCATATTCAGCGAGAACTGTCATCTCTAATCAATTCGTGTACATCTTAACGTGGACTAAGCGGTGAAATGAAATGTGGTTTAACGTCCTACTGTTCTGCTCCAAAACTGGGCTAATGAAGACGGGCATACGCCATACAGTGGGCTATGAGAGACATTTTGCCCGGGCAGCGGCACTATCGCCTACTCTTATATCGAATTCCAACTGCCAAGGGATCTTTTACGTGCATTCCCATGTATACACGGGACTTCGGTTTTTCGTCTCATCCGAAGGACTAGACAGCTGTCCTTGTCAGGCCCTCCGTTTTGCACCACTGACAAGGGGAAACCACGTCGGAAAATCCAGATGAACTTTCTCGGCGAATGCAGGGATCGAACACCCGACCTCCAGGCTAGCGAGCCAGCGTCTTAACCACCTAGCCACCGTGGCTCCGGACAAAGCGGTGAAAAATTAGATAATGCCAATTATTAGCATGAACTGTAATGAATTTAACCGGTAAAATTGAAGAAAAGATAAACGAATTTAACCTCTTGAAGATCTGCTTCTTGTGATGGACCCACCAACGTCACGGCTGAACAATCATCGCGGGCTGCGGTCACTACTGGGAACACGTTATGGGCGGTGGTCTTTAATAGTCGTATAAGGGAGGCAACTCTCGTTTGTGGGAATACTACTTTCAATCGACTGTCCATTATAGCATTAGCTTTCATCCTGAAACAATTGAGAAGGAAAAGATTGTGACAAAATGCAGTCGTCGATTGAGAATTACGGTCCCTTGGAGACAAAATCTCAATCAGCTAGCACCACCATATCTGTCTGAAATTTTAACACGGGGAGTTCCAAAGAGGCGAACGGGACCTGTTCTTCAGCTAAAGTCCTATCATTGAGCCAGTGCGGCCGTTCCCCCAAGTGACGTACGGCAAGCGTACCTTCTCTAATGCTGTCCCTCATTATGGAAGGATCTCCCTCTTTCTATTCGCAATGCCTCCTCCCTTTAACAAATGGGGTCCAACTCGGCGCAAAATAATTATTTCCAGACCAACAAATGGTTAATTTCTTTAGCTGTAGAGGAAACCGGGAAACCCGGAAAAAAACACGAGCCTGGTCAGATGACCCTACTCCTTGTCAAGTATAAGCGGGGGATCAAAACCACTACACTTGACTCAATGACAGATCTTATGACCTGAAGCGCGTGCGTTAAACCATTCGAGAGAGCCACGGTGACTCGGTGAGTAGACGTTGGCTCGCTAACCTTAAAGTCTCGTGTTCGATCCATGCGCTGGCGGTGAAAGTTCATCGAGAAACTCTCTGGCATGGTTACCTTGTCAGTGGTGTAGGGTAGAGGACCTGTCATGGGACAGTGTATAGTCGTTCGGATGAGACAAATAACGAAGTCCCGTGTACACATTGGCGTGCATAAAATAGAATCCCTGGCATTCGGAATTCGAAATAAGAGTAGGACATAGCGCCGCTGTGCGGGCAAAATGCCCCTCATAGCATACTGTATGTCGTATGCTCGCTTTCATTAGCCCAGAAGTAGCAGAACAGTAGGGCGTAAAACCCCATTTCATTTCATTTCGCTAAACCATTTGGCCACCAAATCTCCTTAAAGGTTGTAAATACCTGGCAGCTTCTGTTGGTGGATCCCACTCTAATAAAGGTACACTCTTTAAATTAATGTGAATATCATACAGACCTTCATTAAACAGATCACCTGACCATTTAGCTACCTGCAAATATATAACATATAAAGTATTAATAGTCTAAAAATAGTTACCTTTAAATATAATATAATATAAAAAATTTTGTTCCAGAGTCAAACAGTTGGTGCGTCGTCTCCAAACATTTCAGTTGATTTGATGGTTTGAACATCAACACTAGCGAATGTATTACTTTAGCGATTTTAAATTTCTTCATCTTTACCGTCTATACTTTCATTACTAGATTGATTTTACAAGAATACTGAACTGTAAGACACATTTGTTTTTTCATAGCGTTATTACGCCATGTTTTATTCTATGGGGTAAATTTTACATCCACCGCCGGTCTATTCTTATTTCCTTTTCAAACTGTCAGGGGTCTTTAACGTGCTGTCAATGATATAATTTACATGCCACGTGGACTCCGCCCTTCACCACCAACAAGGGGGGGGGGGCATCACTGATAAGGGGACACGACGCGTTTAAGCACTACTGACAGGGGTAGGACATCACTCCGTCCAGCAGCATTGGTAAGGGGACATCACGAGGGGACGACTAGACCCGTTTTGTTGCTAGGCCCTCTGCTCTTCACCATTGACATGAGAAAAACGGACTTGAAAAGATCTATGAACCTTCACTGTCGACACGAGGCTTCCTGGTTGAGAAGCCAGCGCCCTACTCACTGAGCCTTCGTAGTACCGTAAGAAGTACAAGAAACATCAAACTCACAAAATACATACCATCAGCACCAGCATGATCGGTAAGCCATAACTGATTTCATTAGTAGATTCTATAAGTATAACTGTCAAACTGATAGTCATTCTAACAACTCCACCAAGAAAAGCAGCAGCACCAACAAGAGCATATGTCCCAGAGTACACAGTTTTATAACCAAATACCCTGAAAACAAGATTATCAAAATTATGAAATAAAATGAAATTGGGTCTAGCTTCTCTCGTAAACTTGGGATATAAACGAGGTGCATGCGCCGTGCAGATATATTTATCCGCCTTCTTTTCAAATTCCAACTGCCAATGGTTCACGTGGATCACCAAAAGGAGAAGGCAGACTGGACAGTGTACACATCGTAATGTACCGAATAATATAAGTGACGACATCCTTTGACCTGCAAACTTTGGGATTCGTATAGAAACTATTGTCCAATTACTAAACGATTCCCTATTAAAATATACCTACTGTTCTAAGAAAAGGGCTACAAATCGTCCATAAGCTGCCCCACATAATAATGAAGGTACGAACAACCCACTTGGTACAGATACGCCATACGTCCAACAAGCCAAGAAGAAGAATAAGATGAAGAAGATGGCAAGTGATGGCATACTAAAGGTACCTTAAAGAAAAAAAAACATCGACATTAGCTTGACATTCAAAAATAATATTTAAAGATTTCTTCCCATTTGATTTGATGGTGAGTAAACCCGTTCGGCACTATAGAAGATCGCAGACTGGCCATACAAAATGTTCACCCGGTTTATTGCTGCTAATCTGCGAGCTACCAAACCCTACGACCTGTGCGTATCAAAACAAGTACTCCAGGTTGTGAGCTGGGCTAAAGTTTACAATTGCACAGCGAAAGGCATACATTATTAATGTCGACAGTCCATAGTCCATCTGGATCAACCATGGTGTATTTTCACCCACAATCCGTTTGATTGTTTAGCGTGGTTCCACTGGCTCACTGACCAGGAGGATTCGTCCCAGGCCCTCGGGATATATGTGTTTGTCTTTGCCATGAGAACACCACGCTATAAATCCGGATGAACATACCCAGCTACATACTCATTGACCGTGGCTCTTGTCATGCGCAATTGGTCAAGTTAATATACACCATTGATCAAGTTTTACACCACTGATCTAGTTACTATACATCATTGATCAAGTTAATATACACCACACCATTGAACAAGTTAATATACCCCATTGATCAAGTCAATATACATCACGTATCAAGTTTTATACCACGTATTAAGTTATTATACATCATCGATCACGTTTTACACCATTGATCAAGTTTTACACCATTTACCAAGTTAATATACAAGATTGATCAACTTAATATACATGATTGATCAACTTAATATACATGATTGATCAACTTAATATACATCAATCAGCTTAGTTTACTTACCTGCTTGATGGAATAATTGTTTTATGGCTACTTCCTGTGGATTAAAGAATAACGTGGCCATGTCGTTATAGTAACCATCGTCACAGAAATAATCCCTGACTGTCAACTCTACAGATGATCGAGTTGAATTAATAATAGATGGCTACAGTGAAAGATAGAGAAATTGTGTTAAACGTCCACTCAACTAAAACTAGATAATTTCGGGACTAACATAATGACACACTTTTTATTTCGATGAGGTCCTTGAGTGAGAAAAGCAAGGAGGTTGAGCAGGTGCAGGACGGTTTCATCCACAGATCACAGAAGATTCTTTAAGAATAATGTTGCAACATCAATTAGATATTCTAAAAGGCAGTCTCGATCAGGTCACTATATCGAAAAACGACTTGTTTATTGGCAATGCCGTATTAGAATTCGAGCTTCTTTGGGACCCTCGACGCCCACCCCCCTAGTCTACCCCATCCTCGAATTTGGCATGACAGTTTTACAAGAGTAACTATCGTTGTTTACATGGTTACATCCTCTTGTCCCTCGAGACAGTCTACATTTCTCTTTTGCTTCTTTGTATTCAGTTTTGTTTTTTGTTTTTGTGACGATGGAACATGTACCCTATATGTATTGAATACTTAAACGTTTCTTGATTGAATTTAGAGTTTAGACTACTTTTTTATACATTTCACCGATGTGGTCACTTGTATAGTTATATTTTACTACATATGCTTACATTCGCATTTCGTGTAGCATATAACAGATCATGACTCATGCTGGCATTACACTTTGGGTTGTATTCCTAATTGTTTTCAAATTTGGGTGAAGTCTGTGTCACTACAGACCCGGGACTGTACAGCGCGGTGGACGATTACGGCTAGCCCCCGGATCCATTCACTTTTTTTGAATTGTCATTATGTTTGTGTTTTCCTGAGTATGATGTCCTGTCCGTGTATTTGTTTTTGTGTAAATTTGGTGTGGTGCAGTAAATTACACGTAAATTAAACAACAATTTGTAATCAAAAAGGATTACTATAAATTAATTCCAGTGACGTTTGTCCTATTAACAGTGTTAACATTTAACACTAAAACATTTGCATGAGCCCCTACTTTTGGTGGACACTTTCTCTTGGTGGTACCCCTGGTCAGTTTTTAGGATACTACAGCACTGTTTATGATAGCGGAAGGTTTACTTGGCTGTTCTACAATTAACTAAATAAAACTATTTTTCTGTATTTCTAAAAGTCACTTTTTTCAAACGATAACGGTTTAATATTCAACGTGTTTTATATAATGTAAACTTCTCCATACCTTTAATGGGATTTTTCTACACTGGCCTAATGTCATGGCGGAAACAAATGCAATCGTTGTGGTAACCATAGCCACCAGAATAGCTTCAAGTAATCTTAGATAAAATAGTTGGGGGATATTAATATTGTCACCGGAATAGTTTCAAGAAATCTTAGAAAAAAAATAGTTTGGGGATATTAATATTGTCTGGGGTATTATAACGATGGGTGGTAATTGTTTTTAAGGCAACATTAAAACCGGGACAAAGTGGAAATATGACCAATTCTGTCAGGGGTGGTCGATGATTTTACAAAAGGAACAATTATATCTCATGGTGACACAACAGCACCGAGAAATATTGGGCTGTGTGGAAAGTCGAATTGGAGCATGTTGCCCTTAGTGTTTAACGCCCGCTTCCACCGAATGACATATCGCAGACAAATTGTCTTATTTTCATTTTTTTTATCTTAGCTCACGCGCAGGGGTGGGAGGAAACCGGAGTACCCGGATTAAACCAACAAGGTTGAGAAGGCGTACCTATCTCCAAGCCACATACGCTCACACCAGGGATCGAAACCACAACCGCATACCAGAGGTGATCGGCCAGCACTAGTGTCAAGCCACCATCTCAACCGCCCTAGTGTCAGGCCACCATCGCAATCCCTCGATTTGAGGCATATCTGAGCAACGGCATATGTTTAACACGGGTTACGTAATGTAATTATGAAGTAGACCGTATGTTTGACATTGGTTAAGCAATATGACTATCAAGTAATGAAGACCAGTATCTACCCATATCGTTGAAAACAGCGTTGACACCACGTAATTGTTTTTATTTGAGACCGCAAAAGATCAAGGGAGCGCAAAAAATGAAAACTAATGACTCAAAGCGCGTCATTGCGTCCCCTTTTAGTGACAGCTTATTCCAGATGCCAGTCCTCATTAGCTCAGTATATGAGCAGAACAGTAGGACGTTAAACCCCATTTCATTTCATTTCATTACTCCAGATACGGTGATCATTTTTTATTAAGATGTTTAATAAAAAAAAAGCAATTTCTTCAGGCGGTAATTTCACTACAAGTGTTATGATTTATTGATAAATGAAATGAATTGGGGTTTAACGTCCTATTTTTCTGCAGAGATTGGGTTAATTGATTGATAATATTTGTGATAAACACCTACCTGGGCTAACTGATTGATAAACACCTACCTGAATATTTTATGTTTAGGATTAACGTTAATCATACGATGTAAAGACAAGGATTTATTTAATGTGTTGAATATAGCACCAAGACACCCACCAATAAACCCCATTATAACAAATATAAACAGATCTACGGCACTCCATAGATGACAACCTGTAGTCGCCTCACTCTGACACTGTATTAACATAACAAATATTTCATATCATTAGGAATCAGATAAAAGTCCAAATCGTTTTCAAGAATTCTTTAGCTGTGGGAGGACCCGGAGGAAGCCCGACACGGTTGGACATCCTACTCTCGTATTCGAAAATAAAGAAAAGTAAATGAAATTAAGTGGAATTTAACGTCGCACTGTTCTGCACCGACTCAGCCAAAAAAAACGGGTATACAGCATGCAATGTGCCATGAGATAAATTTTCCCCGGACACCCGGCGCTACGACCAATTCTTATTTAGAATTCGAATTGTCAGGGGTTCTTTTAAGTGCACGCCAATGTGTACACAGGTACTCGGTTTTTCGTACATTCCGAACGAATGCATGTTGTCTCTTTCCAGACCCTCCGTTCTACACCACTGACAAGGTGGAAACCTTGTCGGAAGTCAGCCAACGCAGGGATCGAACACGGGACCTCCAGGTTAGCAAGCCACCGTCTTACTCCTCAGATAAAAGCGCTAATAAAAATAGTTCACTTTGTGTCATGAATTATTTACGTGGAAATTGCTTTAAAATATCATAATAATAAATAATAATAATAGGGAGAATCGTACAACGAGACAGTAGAAATGGGCTCGATTGGGGATCTTCCCAGTTAGGTCAACTCTTATTTCCAATTCCAACTGGCGAGGTTTCCTTTACATGCACGCCAATGTGTACACAGGTCCTCGAATTTTCGTCTCATCCGAACGACTAGACATAGTCCTTGCCAGGTCCCCCGCCCTTCACCACCGACCAGCGGAAATCGCGCCGTAAAACCACCAGGGACTTTCACGGCCAACACCGGGAATGAACCCGAGAGACCCTGGTAAGCGACTTGACGTCTTACTCACGGAGCCATCGTGGCTCATCCGAAAGTAATGAAAAATTCCAGAACTTACCTCAAAAGTGCCGAAATCAATCAGTCCAGGTAAATAGAAATATCCCCAACTGTTAGAATCAATTCCAGACAGGAAGAAATTTAACGAGAAAGTAGCCGCCATAGAGCAGAAGAACTGAAATAGAATATAAACACTTTTGTCTTGAATTGCTTCCCATATTACTAGTTTGTTTTCACTTTGAATGAAGTCTGTGTCACTGTAGGCCCGGGACTGGACAGCGCTGTGAACGCTTACGGCTAGCCCCCGGATCAATTGACTTTATCCGATATGTACGTCTATTTGTTTGAAAGGTCTGTGTATATTATGTAATGTTCGCGAGTTTGTGTTGTGTGTGATGCGATCTTTCTGCGCTTATTATTAGCCATAAAATAAAAATATAAATGAAAGCATGCTGCGAAAATTCTGTGTTACCCGACCCGACTCTATTTGTCAATATCGCCGACCCACCAACTTTTTTTCTGAATCCTATAAATCGGTATCATTTTTGGGGCCTTATGACTACAAAGACCTAATACAACTTAAGAAGTTATTTTTTGTCACCATCTTGAATCTGCACTATTATGATACAAACATGGAAATCCGTTTTAATCAATTGATTGATCTAACTTGATAATATTATTATAAGTGTTGAAATAATCCGAATAATGAAGATCTTACCGTTCGCCATGTTAGTTTTTGGTTCCAAAATGAGGAACCTTCTTCCAGACTAAACAGAACCCCGCCAATAGGGGCACCAAACGCAGCTGTCAAAAAACACAAAACAATAGTCCCCGTATTCAAGCTATTTTATCGGTGAAGGTATGCATGAAATGGGGTTTAACGTCCTAGTTTAGTGTTCAATCCGTGTAAACGCCATGAAATTTGCTATCAGAGAACGGCTTACTCTTTATTTCTAATTCCACCTGTCATGGTTTCTTTTATCTGAGCCCCAACGTATACACACGGACCCCTTAGTGTCATCTCATTCCAAGGCATGTATTTATATCATACCACCCATTCACTTCTAATACTCCCTGTTCAGTTGATTGTATACAGGGCCGGACTGGTCATATGGCTGGAGAAAGATACAGCCGCAGCAAATAATCATTGAATGACCTGATAAGAGGTGATGAGCTCATAATTGGTCAATTGATATTTCAAATTTAAATAAAATATAATAAATGTAGGATAGCGCTAAGAAAGGGAAATATTTTATTACCGCCCCCCCCCCCTCCCTTCCTAAACCCCACCAATATCTGCAGGGTAAATGAAAAACCAAATTTTAAACTAAATATTTTAAGAATGCAGTATTTTTGTTGACTGAAAGGAAAAACGTATTTTAACCTTAAACCAATGGAAAGGCTATATCCCTAATATATTTTATTTAAAAACGTCGTAAATAAGGCCACAGAAGATCACATTAATCAGTTGAATTAACCTTTACCTGCAACACCAGCAGCAGCACCTCCAGACACGAAATCTCTTTTATCTCTAAACAAAAATTAAAAAAAACCATTATTTCATGTTTTAATGAATCTAGCATTAAACAACAATTAGTAGGATTAAAACCTGATTGATGACGTCAAATTATTCTGGGAGTGATCTCCGCTTTAATTATCCCTTCTGTTATTGAAGATAGGATCTATTTAAGCTACGTTTCAACAATGATTCTCTTGTGGTTGTAGCATTGTGCTTGATAACGACAAGAGAATCATTGTTGAAACGTAGCTTTAATAGAAAAACAGTAATTTTTATCCATAGAACTGTTGTGTTTATTTTAATGTTTTCAATTACTAAATGCCATTCAAACAGTATAAGATAGGGTCTATTTTATGATTTATAAACACTTTATTAATACATAACTACTAAAAGATAACCGAGGGGGGGGGGGGGGTAGATCATGTAGAACTTAAGGTCTATCGGTGCTTATACCAACCCAAACCAAGTTTAAATATCCAAAATTAAAAGTATTTTGCTTAACAGATCTTTACTTTTAACATGTATAGATGATTAATATTCCAGAAGCTTTACCCCTTTTAATAGCTATAGCTCTCTCTCTCTCTCTCTCTCTCTTTCAATGATTTACTAGCTACTTACCTGTCTGTTCTAAAGTAAGAATATTTGGAGTTAATCTTCTTTAAAGTTATACTTTGAAGCTAGCGTCAACCAATGAAAGACAAAATAAATAAATAATAAAATAAGTAAACCCCAAATGGTGAGTAAATTAGACAGTATAGTTGTTACTGTCATCAACAGTCATTAACCAAACATTATGCAAGAGCTAAATCAGCCTATTACAGGTCTTACTTTACGCCTGAAATATCATATAATCTATTAATTAGATATTTATTAACATGACAAGACTATAATCCACTGCCGATGCCATCGGATGGGTCCGATTTTAAGCAGATTAGAACGGTTCAGCCATTTAATGATTTACCGTAAAAATGGTGATGCGAAGCTTAGCCTCCACCAACCAGTACGGTGGTTACAATCAGTGCACACATCATGCCAAACCTTCAAAATCTGATATTTTCGCTCAAAATAAAGTAATTTGAATGACATTTTCAATATATAGCAAGAATGACCAATTTTTTATCTAAATTTTACATAATGTATCTTTAATAATTACTGGAAGAAACTATTCAACTGCAAAAGAAATTGTTTATAAGAATTTCAGTTTTACGTCATTATCAATGTAAGCCTAATTTTGATAACGGTTTTGACCATGTGAATGTGATATGTTATAATGACTACAGTTGCAAGGTTGTGATTACGTTGACAACAACAGAGAATTTTCGTAACTGGCTACTGACTGGACAATGACTTTGGAAATTACGTTGACTATTTTTAACAGTTTACTAAATAAGTTTAGGTAACTCACTTGTGGGAGTCCCGAGCCTATGATGGCGCCACTGTGGATCATCGGACCTTCTTTACCAACAAATAAACCTAACATGAATAAATACATACTATCTTTCAAAAATCGGCCAAGGTTTACGCTATTGTCAGTAAGTGTTTGAATCTTTACACAGTAGAAGTAGTTTCCCAAATATGGTAATTAAATATGACACTACAAAATGCATAAATATGAAACAGATTTATTATTAATATATTTTGGTAAACCGCTACACAAAAGCTACTAAATTCAGTATGCAATAAAATCTTAGCAGGGAATGGCATGGCTTAATTCAAGAATACAGTAATTAACATCAAGGGATAATTTGTACTAGGGTGTGTTCAGGATTTCGAGCAGCATTTGGTCCAAGATGGAGACAATATCAAGTTTGTCGTGGGGTCTCGGGGATTATCCGATAATTTGATAAATCTGTGACAATATTTCTGCATACAGAATGGAGTGAGTCCAAAAACGGCGGCATAGCTCTCGTACATAAAATTAATATGCTCTGCCCGAGCAGGGGAGCGTCCGGACCCTGCTGGACTACACCCTCCCACGCCGCCCCACTGAACACACACACCTGTTGTAATCCTGGATAGCGGAATTAACTATTAGTCCATGCATATGAACGAACAATTAATGATTTACTTGGGAGCTAATCTATCTAAGAAGTCGTCTGTACCTCCGGCTACACTAAATAAAACTCCAACGGATTTCGCAACTAAAGTCTGTAGTCTTGCAATACGTGGAATTTTAATACCATTTAAGTAACATTTAATCTCAGGAATACCCGAACCCCCAGCAACTGGCTGAAAAATATAATAAATACAAATTTACTTATTGACCCTTATCATCTTCCTGTATTTCATGTGAATGCATATTTTGGTTAATTACAACTGCATAGAGTAAAGTGTCATTTGGTATATGAGACGCTCCCTGTACGTTTCTACAACACGTATTGACAATATGTTCTTGTTTGGTGGAGATCAGTGTAAATGAAATTACATTGGCGAACTACTTTTAAAAGGTGTCTATTTACCTCATATATAGTTAAACAAGCCGTTTATAATGTTGGACGCTACATGCAAGTTTCTGCAACACGCGTAAAATAATCTTTTTTGTAGAGACACATTACATTAGTAAACTATTTTTAAAAAACTGGCTTTTTACCTCATATATAGTTAAACAAGCAGCAACAGTAACAAATGCAACATTAAATAATAACAAATAGAGAAGGGAGATAACTAAACACCCATCTTTAGAACACTGTAATATAGCTGTTACTACTGTTAAGGTGCGTATAATATAATATCTACCACATATGAACATGTATTTTGCGAATACTGCGGAGACATCCGGCACCAACAAGTGTGACAATGATGCTTTCAGTGAATTTGGTACTTATGCCCACTTGGAGTAATGCAATGGCGCGTTCTCGGTGATAACATTGGCATATCGTTGCTTCTTCAACAGAGCTCCCGGTTGTACGTGACAAGGAGTAGGATCGCCTCCGCAACCTCGTGGTTTTTTCTGGGTCCTCTGGTTTCCTACCACTGCTAAAGACCCCTACGCGAAAGCGAATTATAGAAATAAAATGGATCCGTATGTTAGTCCCGAAATGACTAACATTGAGTCGAATGGACGTTAATGTCTCTCTCTCTCTCTCTCACACACACACACTCTCTCTCTCTCTACAGAACTATAGGAGTTGTACTGGCCTGAGAGTTTTAAAAGCCACATCTTATACGCCATGTCTGCAACATCAAATCGTGATTTTCAATATTCCCAGTGTGTCTTTGACAGAATTAATGTGTGGTGCGTTTACGCGATCATGAAAACATCATTCGCACGTGTTTGTCGGGTGTACATGTAACTACAATCAGTATTTCCAGACCTGCAGATTTACAACCGACCATACATTTGTAAAAGTGGTTCGTTTTCACTGCGTCTTCGTATAAATTTCGAGTAAACACATAGTCAGATAATCACCCGATCAGCAAACTATAATGTATTTCGACATCATTTTTACCTTTGGTTTCGTATTCTATGGAATACAATTACTGCTTATTACTGAGGGACGTTGGTTTCCCGTGAGATAAATTATATATAAAGGATACATTTATCAACTGTTCCAAATTTCCAATCAGATAAAAGTTTAACAATCAGATCAATATACAGGGCAACCTGGAAATAAAACAAACGTTCGTTCATTAAATAACTTTTTGTTATATATGTACAAAGTATTTTAGTCATAGAAAATCACTGAGGATCAGAATAAGTCTGTATTACCCCCCGCCCTCCTATCACTTTCAACAAGAGCGTAAATGGGAAGCAGCAGCGGATCAGTGAGTAAGGCGCTGGCTCACTAACCAAGTTGTTCTGAGCTCGACCCTAGTATTGGCCGAGAAAGTACCCTTGGGTTTTCCAGTGTGGTGGCCCGGGGGACTACGAAAACCCGAGTATCCGTGTACACGTTGGCATGCACGTAAAATAACCCCTACCAGTTGTCTCTCATAGCACAGTGTGCCTTACGCTCGTCTTCTTTAGCGCACTCGGTACCGAAAAATAGGACGTTCAATCCCATGTCATTTCATTTCAGAGCATAAAAATATTTATTATAATAAGAACTCAATATTAATTGTAAGATCAAATCAATTATTTACAGAACGTATGTCCGAATAAATTAAAGTAATACACGGAAACGGTGAACTTACCATCCCTGTTAGGAAACCAATGGCAAATGTCATAACCCATTGAAGAATTTCTAGCTTTCTATCACTCTACAAACAAATCAACCCAACAAATTAGTTAATAATACATGTACCTGTTTATCGAAAAATGTTCTACCGTCTATTTTTGTCATAGTCCTCGAGGTGTTTCGTTTGATTATACCTAATCCCACTTAACACTGATGTAAAGGAAGCGAATTTCTGCTCCAAATTATGACTGGTCAATAGTCCGATTAACAACCAATAGCTAACTAGGTAACGACATCATTACGCTTAAAACAGAGCTCCAAATTGGACCAACCATGTTTATATAACGTTACATTATGTCCAAGTAACCAGTGCATAGCAGAATATTGCAGATAAACTAATTGCGTGACAAACGAGGCTATCAAAACGAATACAATGTAAACAATACTGTTTGAAGACGAACAATACTTTCACCTTTTTAATACCTTAAATCAATGTCCAGGGTTTTAGGGAAGACTCCAGATTAAACGAAGGGCTGTATTTGGGATAGATTTGATTGAACGGGAAAAATAGACACACTCCCTCAAAAGCTCAAGTATCAGAAGCGAATCCAGCGGAGGCCCTAGAAGGACATCTCGGGCCATTGCTTCAGGAATATGATTTTTGTTGACATTCACGTTTTTATTAGATTCTTACGTAATCATCACTGACGTAGATCAAAAATTGTCGAATTGTGTGAAATGTTTTAAAAGCACAAAATTTGGCAAAACAAGTACGATCGTACCATGGACCAGGAACTGACCAAATCGCTGCAGAATTGTTCAACGAAGAAGCGTGCCAATTTTCATGTCAATTTGAATTGACGAAGCCTTAGGCCTTTTTCAAGAGCGTCACCTCAAGAAGAGGAACAATAGATTATAACGTTCTGATTATTGTAGTGGATGGAAGAATAGCGACCGACCTCACCAGGGCGTCATTATGGCGTCACCACTTTATAAAAAATAGCTCAAAATCTTCAACTTTAACCGGTAATTCATTAGTTTTGTTACATGATAAAAAAAAGCGTGAATTTTTGTGTTAATATAACTACACCTTTAGTTTTATGTATCGAAGGAACAAATTCTTAAACTCCATGCACAAAAGCGTTATATTTGGTAACGTTGAAATCCTATAAAGTGCTGTCATATTATAGTGTATATATACTTACATGCTGTTTTTCGTATTTTTCTCTATAATCTAAATAAGGTTTGTTCCAACATCGATCATAATCTAAACTCTACAAGTTAAATAAAACAAGTTAGAAAATCAAGGGAAATAACTCCATAGGGACTCTCTTTTGGAAAGTCTTAACACGGAGAGAAGCTGTGATATAAAATAGTCATCTTAATTCTATGTTAATATCCATTAAATAAAGATGATCGAGTGCTCCCTCAATATAAACAGATCAATCTAACTAAAGAAAGGGCGACCAAAGACAGGCCCGGATTAAAACATATACAGGCCTAAGCACTCAGAAGGTGTTGGTGCCTCCATAAATGTAAACAATGAAAAAACAATCTGTTAGAGGGGGGTTTTTTTTGGCGTTTTATACACGTCATTTTATACTGAGACAAAGAAGGTAACAATAAGAAAAGACAAAAAAAACAATGAATTAATAATCAAAACTTTTTAATTAATTTTCAAATTAAATATTTTGAATTCGTTATGTAATAAAGTACGTGTTAGAATATACGATAGCTTATTTCAAAATTCCCACCATATTTAAACATAAAGGCATCTACCTCATAATCTTTATTAGAGACTTCATTATGTCCGCCATGGTGACCAGGCCGAGATCTCAATAACGGCACCTACAATATAGACAGGTGGTTTTAAAATCAATCTGGGAAATATAGAAACAAATCCACATTAAATTATACACTCTAAAACAAATATATTATATATATAGTACTTAGTCAAAGCCACTGGAATAATGGTTCCACTCTATTCAGTGTTTGGGTAAGACGCTTGCTCGCTAGTCTGGGGGTCGCGTGTTCGATCGCTGCTCTGGTCGAGGAAGTTCATCGGGATTTTCCGACGTGGTTTCCCCTTTTCAATGATGTAGGATGGAGGGCCTGACAAGGACAGCTGTCTAGTCGTTCAGATGGGACGAAAAACCGAGGTATACATTGCCGTGCACGTAAAAGATCCTTTGGCAGTTGGAATTCGATATAAGAGTAGGGCATCGTGCCTGGGCAAAATTGCCCTCATAGCACACTGTATGGTGTATGCCCGTCTTCATTAGTCCAGTCGGAGGAGAACAGTAGGACGTTAAACCCCATTCCATTTCCTATTCAGTATTTACAAAGATATGTCGAATTGGAAACTTCGCAACAGTCGATATCCTCTACAGGCGACATCAGGAGCGTGTCCAGGAATTAGATTAGCGGGGGCTCAAAGGTGGAAACAACGTCAAGTTTGGCGTTAGGTCGTGTGGGATGGGGAACTACCCGCGAATTTGATGAATTCAGAATCTTTGAGACAATAATTTTGTTTATTTAGGTGCATACATGTATAGGATTACATTGGAGTGAGTCAAAACGGTGTTATTTCTATGAATTTAGGATTTAAAAAACACTCTCTGCGCGCCAGCAGTTTGGTCCATCTCTGGACACGCGCCTGGACATCAACAAGTCAGTACTATGTAACAATATTTTAATGGGTCTCTATCTAATCTAAAAATCCAAGATGTCTACCGTTCATATTTTAGTTGTGTCTTCTCTTCTTAATTAGATGTTAATTAATCCCTTTTATTATAGTTTACCTTGAATTGAACCGTAAAACTTTAGATGTCATATGCAAAATTCGTCTACATTAGCCCAGTACAGGAGCAGAACATTAGGACGATAAACCCCATTTCATTTCACGGAAAATGCAATGCCCCCACCCCCACCCCTTGAATAGATTATTTCGTGATAATCCTCATATTTCCTATATATTCAATAGTTCGCAATTTCGGAGTAAGGGACTATGTTATTTGATAAAGGGGTCTGGCTTTTAAAACGAGACAATATCTAGATATTAACACAGACCCTACTGTAGATAGTGAATATTGGCCTCGTGTTGTGAAATATAGCAGGATGTACTTTAAAATAAATAAACATTTATGAAATGATAATAAATGTGGTTTAACTGTTCTATACCAACTGGGCTAACGAAGACGGGTATACGCCATACAGTGTGCTATGAGGGAATTTTGTCCCGACAAAACATATATGAGCTTGTATATCTGTATTCGTGATAAGTTCATAACATATGGGAAAAATATTTGTAAATGGTTGGGTTTTTTTTAAAATAAAAAGACATCGGTATTGTCAAATTCTTCCTGTTGACATGATCACTTATTGCTGGGAGATTGCCAGTTTAAATAGGTAATTAAATACACGCTGACCCGACCTACGTGCACTTGCATTCGTTTAGTACCTTTAATCACGCGTAGATATATATAACAGAGTCGTGATGATGTTTATTCATACAGTGGGCGGTGTCAAGCAGTTTAAACTCTGTGATATATATATATAGGTATATAAGTTATTCATATCAACATAGCAAGCGATCATTAATGAATTCATATCATTATATAGGAATTGAAGAGATTGGTGGCATACCCTTGAAGTTTCATTAGCGGTTCTATTAAATGATAGGCAACCAAACACTCTCCCACAACATTTTCTTATGAAGTCTGTGGCCATCTTCGCCAGCCATAACAAATCTAATCTTTGAACCGGATGTTTTGGTTTAAATAAGGTCACCGTGCATAAGATAACTGATTAACTAATTGCTATAAATAGATCGACTCGCTTTGATATAGATAAAGGCAAAGCGTCCTAGTATAATTGTTATACTGAAATAAAATGAAGTGAAATGGGGTTTATCGTGCTACTGTTCTGCTCCGACTGGGCTAATGAAGGCGGGCATGGTTCAATTTTATTTCAATAATTAGCTTGCGCGTATGTGTCTTTAGCAGTGGGGGGAAACCGGAGGGCCCGGAGAAAATCCATGAGGTTGGTCAGGCGACCGTACTCCTTGTCACGTACAACAGGGGAATCGAAACCACATCAGTTGGGTCAATGACAGACATTCTGATAGAACGTGCATGCGCTAACCATTCGGCCCTCAACACCTCCCCCCCCCCCCGGGTGTGTTATATCATGAGGGCAATTTTGCCAGGACAGCAGCGCTACGACATACTCTAATATCACATTCCAACAGTCAAGGATTCTTTTACGTGCACGCCAATACACAGGACCTCGGGTTTTCGTCCCATCCCAACGATTAGATAGCTGTCCGTGTCTAGCCCTCTGTCCTGCACCACTGACAAGGGGAAACATCGCCCGAAAATCCCAAAGAATGTCAGCGAACCCAAGACCAATTTTCATATTCATCTTAGGTTTCATTATTCTGACTAAAAAAGGCCCTATAATGATAACCCACACACTGTAAAAGGTAGTGAAATGGGGTTTAGCGTATTTTTATGTACACTAAAGGGGAAACCACACTGGAAAACCCAGAGAACTATATCCCGGATCGAAACCAGGATCTACTGGTTCGTGGGTTAGGACCTTAATTACCGAGCCACCGTAGTTCCGATACAAGCCGTGTATTTAAACTAAATTATTTTTTGTGCCTTATTGTTCAAATATTGTCCATAAATGGTTACGAGAAATCTGTAACGCCTGTTGAACCTTCATCATAGATGTCTATAAGATATTTCTTCATTTTAAATGTTTATATATATACTATTCAAAAAAAGTAGGGGATATTTGATTTTGGGGGCATAATACTAAAATATGCAAATGACTACGAAAAAAGTCACTATAGAACCTAACAGAAGAAACATTTCCAGTTACATGTGACGCCCAAACGCACCAATAGCTACCGCATGGAATGCAGGTGATGCTTGGGATCATCATGGGGGTCCAACCCAAGATTTGCACGACTCTGACTTTGAATGTTACATTCATTGTGGCATTGAATTCCAGGGTGGAAACATCAGTTTAATTGTTTTAGTGACCAGAAAACAAATTTTGATATGCGTCGGCTTACCCAAAATGAAAGGTTACGTGCCCTTGGCATGCTACAGATCGGCACAACACAGGCGGTTGTGGCGCGGACGATGAATGTTTCTCAGTCTGTCATAAGCAGGCTATGGTCCAGATACCGTGATACACAATCTGTACAGGACAGACCACGCTCAGGTCGACCAAGGGCGACAACTCAAGCCCAGGATCGATTTATCCGTACCTTGGCCTTGAGAAATCGTGTCATCACAGCAAATCAGATCAGCGCTCGTCTTCAAACAGACACTGGTGTGAGAGTGAGTGGCCAGACGATTCGGAATCGACTGCATAGGGGTCAACTTCGCGCCCGACGTCCTCGCGTGATCCCTTGTTTGAGAGATCATCACATTCAGGCAAGACGTCGTTGGTGTAGGGATCGTCAACACTGGGATAATCGACGCTGGAGCAATGTGATGTTTTCAGATGAGTCAAGGTTCACTGTTGATTTTTTGGACAGACGTAGGAGGGTGTGGCGTCGTCGAAACGAGCGCTTCCAAGACGTTAACGTCATCAGACATGATCGATTTGGGGGTGGTTCTGTTATGGTGTGGGGAGGCATCACTGTTGCTGGAAGAACGGCTTTACATGTTGTTGCAGGGCGTGTTACAGGCCAGTACTACCGGGACAACATCTTGGCAGTCCATGTTGTGCCGTTCGCACGACGTCATGGCCGCCGTTTCATCTTCCAGGATGACAACGCAAGATGTCACAGGGCCAGGATCGTTACAGGTTACCTCCAACAACAGAACATCACCACATTACCTTGGCCAGCACTGAGTCCCGACCTCTCCCCCATCGAGCATGTCTGGGACATGCTTGGACATAGGTTACGTCAACGTCAACAACGTCCTGCCAATGTCCAAGAACTTGCTGCTGCGTTGCAACAGGAATGGGACAATCTGGACCAAAATGACCTTAGACGTCTCATTAGGAGTATGCCACGTCGGATCAATGCTTGTTTGGCAAACAGAGGAGGATTTACCCGTTACTGACTTGGTTGTGATGCTGTGATAACTTTGCTGTTTGACCCCGGGTATCATTTTACCCTTATAATGGTCAGGCTGTGCCTTACTTAGTCTAACGATCATTTGGAATAAATCGATGAATGTGAACTTCATTTCATTTTGTCATTTGTTTCTTCGTCAGTTTCATTAGGTGACTTTAATAACACTTAAAAATCAAATATCCCCTACTTTTTTTGAATAGTATACTTAAACATACATTTTAACATTATAGTTTTATTTTTGTGAATTGTTTGTTTTTAAATTGAATTTTAATTTTATATGATCAATAATCTAAATACCTTTTCTGTAGTAGCACATAGAAATACACGTTATTGTAAAAACTATAGAATTTAGGCCTATACATATTAAGATGTATGAACTTAAAACTATATAATTTGTACATATTATTAAACATACATTATGCAAGAGCTAAATCTGCCTATTGCGCGGGTCTTTCTTTAGGCCTAAATTATTAATTAGACATTTATTAACGTATCCAGACCATAATCAACTCTCTATATCATCGCTAGCCTGCGATATTTACTGGATTATGAACCGATTTGCTGCTCGACTTTCGTTCATGATTTAATCATGAAATGGATAATCGAGACTATGTTTATATCTTACCGACTTTAGTAATGATGATCGGGGCTAGGTCGAAAATTCAATCGCTAAATTCTCGGTTCAGAGTGGATAAATTTGGCTGAAAGTTTCAGCAAATTCCCTTTACATTATCTCGTTTTTAACTATTATATAGTTTATCTAATCTCCGATAATGAATCTTTACAGCAATGGTGATACTTGGTTTTAATTTCTCCAACCTCGTGGGGTTTTCTCCGGATCCTCCGGTTTCCTCCCTCTGCTAAAGACCCCTACGCGCAAGCGAATTATTAAAATCAAAAATTGAACCATGTATTAGTCCCGAAATAACCTGGTTTGTGTCGAGTGGACGTTACCCCCCCCCCCCCATCTCTCTCTCTCTGGTTTTAATTTCATTTATTAATGAGACAAAGTAACATGTTTATTTCAATAGTTACGAGTGCAATCGTAACTAGGTGAATTTTACCGGTGCAGTGGCGTGTTCGCCTACTCTTTCTTTCTTTTTTTTTGTTTACAGACATGCCAATGTTTGCGTGGGCGAGCGTCTGTTTTTCGTGCCATTTAAACGGCTTCATACACTTTCCGTGCTAGCCCCACAAGCGCTTTATCCGACATTGTTGCGTATCTCTAGCAAACACGAAAGTGGTTATCCACGCTTAAAGCTCAAATAAAGCAAATAGGCAGCGTTCAGAAGAGCCTATATCCCAATACCAAAAATCGTGAGTCTGGTCAAACAATTTAGGCAACATATGGGAGAGAGAGAGAGAGAGAGAGAGAGAGAGAGCGAGAGAGAGAGAGAAAGAGAGAGATGGGGTTCAACGTCCATTCGACAAAACTATGTCATTTCGGGACTAACGTATGGTTCAATTTTATTTCAATATTTTGCTTGCGCGTAGATGTCTTCAGCAATGGGAGGACCCGGGGAAAACCCATGAGATTGGACCGGCGAATCGAAAGCACGCCAGTTGACTCAATGACAGACCTTACGATACAGTGCGCACAGGCTAACCATTCGGCCATCCAACCCCCCGCTACATCTAGAACACATAATGTTGTTGTATTGGATTTAGAACCAAGTCATGCGAGATGTCGTATGTTTAGATCTGTCAGTTTTAATCATAAGGTTATTGTCATGTTGATTCTACATAACTGACAGGACAGGAGGAAAGCAGGCTAGGAACTTTCAAACAAGGGGCGTTCTGGTTAACGAACCAATGCAATACTCAGCAAATCCCCTTGGATTCTGAAAACTTATAAATATGCTTAAACTTTTTATTGGAACTTCAAACAAAATACGACTACTTGATAAATCATGGAAAATCTGTTAATACGAAGAAAACCCTTTAAATAACCATATATAATATCGATTCAGTATTTTCACTTCGCTCCATAAAGCATCATTCAGCGCGTTAACCATGCCTCGGTTCCTTGGAATCTCAACCAAGACGAAGTTCAGACCTCTTGGGGTGTTCAAAGAATAATCTCAATAAATTTGTATTAAATGAATACATATCGTGTAATCAGACGTTGAAATGGTCAACAACGTGAAGGGACAGTAGTCTATAAAGTTAAATCAAGCGGATTTCAAGATCTTGGTTTGTTTCACTCGATCTCTTCGCGGCGGTACTTCAAGTATACAATCTAAGAGCCATCTTACAATATATATTTCACGGACTGGTTGTTTTGTATGCTTCACGTATTTAATAGAGAGGTAAAAAGAATGTTGAATTCTGGCAATTATAAACCACTTCAAGTTGCTTACAATTGATATACAGATGCACGTGTGACCAGCTATTCGAGTTTCTTCCGGCTATTTATTAAACCTATGCCAATTTACTTAATAAAAAAAAAGCCACAGATCTTTATTTGAACTATTTTGACTATTCTGAGTGATTTGAGCGATAAACAATCTGATTAAAACACAGATCCTATTTCGTTTCGTTTTTTATAGTTTAAAATTTTGTAAAAACTTGTCTTTAATTTCACTAGGATTTGGAAGAGTTATTATCATTGGCGTGTTCTGAATGATGTGAGCTATTAGCCAATG